GTAATTTACTTAAAATTCCCAAACTCTGAATATTTCCTCTTAATAGTCACTAATTACCTGGATTTTCTTTTGAGACTCATGGATCTGCGATAACTTCTTCGTGAGCTCAACAACAACGACAACCTTAATTAATTTGTACTTACAGTTACAATTTTATGGACAGAAAAAAAAAACAATAGAGCTCAAAGCATCGGACGTACTTCTGGTGATGCTGAGTAAAATCGAGCAGTTAACACAAATTTATCACAGGGTTAGATAAGTAAATGCTTCAAGTAATGCAATTAGCTAGTAAGCAAGCTTGAAGCTTGTCACACGGGTGGGTGGTATAGACGGAAAACGATCGACTCGCAATTTTTGCTTGGGCGTCGGTCACATGATCGGCTAATAACGAAATAGAACTGAGCTCTTTTCTGTGATCGGTAAAAAACGCCTTTTGCACTTAACTTAAAGCTCGTTATTACTTCCACGCTCCAATAATTTCCTGTTTAGCCATTTCAACTTCTCATGACAACAATAACAACAACAGACGGGCAGAAGTTTCAATGATTCTCTTTCGCAGCTAGACCATTACCACTTAAGGATGTACCACTCTACTTAGTGGACAGACAGTCATGACCATAGTAGCTTGACCACACACAGACATCACTTTTAATTGACCCACCGTATTAGACACCAACTCCCTATCAAGCGGGTGTTCGCTTTCGAGTTAAGCCCATTCCTTCGTGACTCAGTGAAAGAATTAGAGGCATTCAGTGACTAAATATCGTAACTTAATATGCAGACACGGAATTGGCAGAAAATCGAGTATTAACGTCACGAGAAATAGCTGAATGAGGCTTGTGGGGTGATACAACCATACTAAGAAATCGCGGATTCGAAATCGCTATGTGCTAGCTGAAATCTAGCTAGCTAAAACACGCTTTGCCAGAGTCGAAACGAAACCCCTCGAAATGTAGCGTGAACACGTATAGTGTAGCCGTAATTGAGGTAACAGCTGTTAGAGAACTCTGCTGCCCACAAATACAAGAAGTCATCTACGATGAAATAACGGTATTGATCGAATCACGTTTTCAGACTTTCCTCTTGACCCATTTAGAGCTCATTGTCACTAAAATGATTTAGCTTCCAGTTGGAACCAATTCAAGTTAAGCGTCAACAAATTTGGAAAATTATCAAGTACTTCAGTGAAAGTTATATTATGACCTAAGCACAAGCGTCGCTGAGGTAACTTTCTGACACACCCTTCCACCATTTACCCAAGAACTGGTGCAAGAATGTAATTCTAAAATACGTCGCTCGAAAAAAGAAAAAAAGGAAAGAAAGAAAGAAAAAAAAAAAGATCTCCATAGCTAAGGATGACGATAGAGCAACTCATCAATATAATTTAATAAAGTATTATGTGAGTATTAGAAATACAATACATGCGTATAGGCCATGCATGCAACACAGTCGTATAAAGACGGAATTCGTGAGGGAATTATTACACTTGATACCGATCATCCTGAAAAAGGCCGGATTTGTCTGACTATGTAAATATTTCTCGTGATTAGCTTTTCAACCCATTAAGCGATGGATCTTCATAAGTCAGCCCCCAGTCAGCGTGTAGACCAAAACAACGCAAAACAAATAGCAAGATTAGCAAAAATCCCTGTTTAAAGGATATAATAGTTGTCTACAGCTAATAATTTTATGCGCTTTAGTTTTTCCTTTTCATTGTTGATGCCAGAGTTACCAGAACTAAGACTCATCATCAGGTACTGTGTTTTTACTATCACTGAGTGATGTAGACTTATATAATATAATGTAGACGGTTAGGTAGTTCTGTGATTGTCTATTGGAGTACATCATTCTACCTACGGTATTCTCTTTTACTTCGTAGCTCCAAGTGAAGTAAGATTTGTTGCATTTTTGCCAGTGTTATACGCTGTCATCAGCTTCGTATCAGCGAAATTAAACGAAACTGAGAACCTAATCAGGCTCACTGTAAACTCTGTTTTCTTCGTGCTCCGACAGTCGGGCTGTTGAAGTGACGCCCAGATCCTTTCCAAAACTTGTAACAGTTTGAGACTAGCAGAAAATTCTTTTAGCAACGTTGATCAGCGCTTACAACTTAAACTAGACAAGAGTTCGTGCTGTTCAGTTGCTCGTTTTAAAACTGTAAGACTTGTAGAAGCCGAATGATTTTACTTATCTGCCTTACGCCTCAAATACAGTGCTGATGTGAGTCGAATAGAGCAAAGAATTTTATTTTTTCCTGACATCTTAGACAGAAATGTGCGTTCAACTTTGAACTATAACACGGCATGGGCCTGATAATCGCAGACATATTAAATTGTCGTGTTCAGTTACTCGTGCCCTTGTTTATTCTATCCCCTAGATCGGCCGTGCGGGTTAGTTTATGCATGTTTTATTTCTAATTCCTTTTCTCAGAATGTTTTGGTTTTCATATTCAAAGGTCCTGTTACAGTTTGCAAACGCACGCTTTGCATCTCTCACGGACCACACACGACCGATTTTCCCGCCACTTTGGACGACCGCATCCGATGTACTTTCGCGCCTTTGGCACCTGGTGCACGATTTTATTTCAAATTTCCTTGTTAATCGTTGTTACGTCTGTTCACTTCTGCTTAAAACTGATGTTTTCGTTTCTGCTTTTGGAGTTAATATTATATCGTGTTACAAACTACGATAGGGTTTTGCCCATTCCAGCAAAAATTAATTCAATTCAAAGACCATTTTGATGATTGGGCTTCAATAGCTCGTGCATTTATCTTAATTTCAGGGCAAAATCCTTATAGCGACTTCAGTTCTAACTTAAGGAATTTATTGAAATGTACTGAAGAGGTTTTCGAAAACATTTTTTTTGAAGTTCAAGCGTAAAGTGAAGTCGTTTGTCTCAAAGGTTGTCGTTTGTGATAACATGAGGCTTCATGCTCACATTTTAATGTAATATATCAAACACGAAAGACCGTGTTTGACCACATTTCCAAACACCGAGAGGAGAATTGAAAATACGACGCGCAGCGGAGTACTTTTGTCGAACTTCGAGGAGTTCGGAAATGTTGTCAAACACTGTCTTAAGTGTTTGATATATCTTTTCAATCGAAACTAAAACTAAGGAGAAAATGGACAAAACAAATCGTAAAAATCTATGCTAATTAAGATCAGATATCCAAACACTGCCGCGGTCATGATTTCCTTTGTTTAAACCTAATGAATTATTAATGATTTGAGAATGCTATATGAAATAACGACCACAGCTAGCGACAGGTTCCTGTAAGAGGCTAAGCAGTAAACGTTTAAGAATTGTTTTTTTCTTAATATTGCCTCGGTAAGAGATTTAGCTCAGCTAAGGCAGTAGAAATATTATTTATCAACCCTGATTCTTGTAATATTTGTCGTAATATTTTAAGTTGAAGTGAACCAAGAGTGGTTAAGATAAAATCTCTAAAAAGAATTTTGAGTGAGCAGCAGCGATATAACACTTGCATGTGCCTTTCATTGTTTGAACAAATTGATCCAGTGATTCAATGTTGTTACAAAGGTTCGCCTTGCCCTACTGCAGTCGATCGATCTCATTTTGCCTTTCATGCAACTCTACCTAGAACATTCAAAGTAGAAGGCAACACCCTATAAAATCCTGTAATGGATCACGAGACGAGACGAGATTTCTTTGTCAGATCATATTGGGAACTTTGCACTTTGCACTGAACGTTCTTACATATTTGCCGAATGTCTGCACACGCATACACGCCAATCGACCTCGTCTCCTAATTTTTCCTTCTTCATACATTTTGCAATGCTCTGGAGCAGTCCGGGAGTCCAAATTTGACTCTAAATTATCTTATGAAAAGACTGGGATTTTTGTTAAAATAAATTGGATATTAATCATGTCCCAAATATCGCTCTATTACAGTTGTTATACCTTTAACTCTTATCATAGCAAAGATAACCTTCGGTAAGCGAGCACATTTCCTGACGATAAGATAAAACTTTTCGTCTGAGTGCCAACTGACTGTTCGGCTATCCTGTAACATAAGCCCTGAGTTCTAAGACGAAAAAGCCGTTCAATACAACCAGACCTATATCAATATAATCATTATAATATCACTATATTAACAAGCAAACCGATATGAACTGAAATAATCAACTATGGAACCATCAATTTCCTATATGTGATCTTGTAAGAAATCATTGGAAATTCAAACAAGTAAGAACAATTAATATTTTGATACAATCGCTGGAAAAAGACTCTGGGATTAAAGGGTGTGGCTTTAAATGTAACACTGCAAAACACCTAAAAAGGTATCCTTTCGTCATTTTTTTATCCCTTACTGGCAATCCCGCTTCCTGTTTGCGGATGTCCCGCGGAAATTAATCTTAAGTACCTTTGAGTAGAGCAAGATTAAAATTGAAACTAAGTGTATATTACATTTTTCCTGCATGTGTTTTCTTAATTCTTCTACATGGCGAAGAAAAAATATGTGATGGTCGTGATCCGATACTGGAGAGGAGGTGTTGTGTAACGCAGTATAAACACTGCTACAGTGGGTACTTCTTCCAGAAGTTCAAAATCGATAGAAAAACTCTCTTGCCTACTCCTTACCTCTATCCGTCTATCTCACTATTACTTAGTCGCTCAGATGCCCCCCCACCACCCTCCAGGAGGGACTCACTTACACTTATGAAAAGGTCGAAGATGCTCGTGCGAAAATTCAAATTAAACTCCTTAAGGAGACTGATCTAGGAGGGGCTCGAACTTTATTTGACTCCTAAAAGGTACCACTTATGGTAGCCGAACACAGTTTTCGCGCGCGCTTTTGCTGATATAATTCAGCGCGCGCACAAGGATTGCATTTATTTACTCAACACTCCCACTATCTGTGCTATTTTTCTCTATTATTGAACGAAGTGTATTGATGGCTTTAGTTTTTTATTACAAAGATACGTTAGANGGTAATTTACTTAAAATTCCCAAACTCTGAATATTTCCTCTTAATAGTCACTAATTACCTGGATTTTCTTTTGAGACTCATGGATCTGCGATAACTTCTTCGTGAGCTCAACAACAACGACAACCTTAATTAATTTGTACTTACAGTTACAATTTTATGGACAGAAAAAAAAAACAATAGAGCTCAAAGCATCGGACGTACTTCTGGTGATGCTGAGTAAAATCGAGCAGTTAACACAAATTTATCACAGGGTTAGATAAGTAAATGCTTCAAGTAATGCAATTAGCTAGTAAGCAAGCTTGAAGCTTGTCACACGGGTGGGTGGTATAGACGGAAAACGATCGACTCGCAATTTTTGCTTGGGCGTCGGTCACATGATCGGCTAATAACGAAATAGAACTGAGCTCTTTTCAGTGATCGGTAAAAAACGCCTTTTGCACTTAACTAAAAGCTCGTTATTACTTCCACGCTCCAATAATTTCCTGTTTAGCCATTTCAACTTCTCATGACAACAATAACAACAACAGACGGGCAGAAGTTTCAATGATTCTCTTTCGCAGCTAGACCATTACCACTTAAGGATGTACCACTCTACTTAGTGGACAGACAGTCATGACCATAGTAGCTTGACCACACACAGACATCACTTTTAATTGACCCACCGTATTAGACACCAACTCCCTATCAAGCGGGTGTTCGCTTTCGAGTTAAGCCCATTCCTTCGTGACTCAGTGAAAGAATTAGAGGCATTCAGTGACTAAATATCGTAACTTAATATGCAGACACGGAATTGGCAGAAAATCGAGTATTAACGTCACGAGAAATAGCTGAATGAGGCTTGTGGGGTGATACAACCATACTAAGAAATCGCGGATTCGAAATCGCTATGTGCTAGCTGAAATCTAGCTAGCTAAAACACGCTTTGCCAGAGTCGAAACGAAACCCCTCGAAATGTAGCGTGAACACGTATAGTGTAGCCGTAATTGAGGTAACAGCTGTTAGAGAACTCTGCTGCCCACAAATACAAGAAGTCATCTACGATGAAATAACGGTATTGATCGAATCACGTTTTCAGACTTTCCTCTTGACCCATTTAGAGCTCATTGTCACTAAAATGATTTAGCTTCCAGTTGGAACCAATTCAAGTTAAGCGTCAACAAATTTGGAAAATTATCAAGTACTTCAGTGAAAGTTATATTATGACCTAAGCACAAGCGTCGCTGAGGTAACTTTCTGACACACCCTTCCACCATTTACCCAAGAACTGGTGCAAGAATGTAATTCTAAAATACGTCGCTCGAAAAAAGAAAAAAAGGAAAGAAAGAAAGAAAAAAAAAAAGATCTCCATAGCTAAGGATGACGATAGAGCAACTCATCAATATAATTTAATAAAGTATTATGTGAGTATTAGAAATACAATACATGCGTATAGGCCATGCATGCAACACAGTCGTATAAAGACGGAATTCGTGAGGGAATTATTACACTTGATACCGATCATCCTGAAAAAGGCCGGATTTGTCTGACTATGTAAATATTTCTCGTGATTAGCTTTTCAACCCATTAAGCGATGGATCTTCATAAGTCAGCCCCAAGTCAGCGTGTAGACCAAAACAACGCAAAACAAATAGCAAGATTAGCAAAAATCCCTGTTTAAAGGATATAATAGTTGTCTACAGCTAATAATTTTATGCGCTTTAGTTTTTCCTTTTCATTGTTGATGCCAGAGTTACCAGAACTAAGACTCATCATCAGGTACTGTGTTTTTACTATCACTGAGTGATGTAGACTTATATAATATAATGTAGACGGTTAGGTAGTTCTGTGATTGTCTATTGGAGTACATCATTCTACCTACGGTATTCTCTTTTACTTCGTAGCTCCAAGTGAAGTAAGATTTGTTGCATTTTTGCCAGTGTTATACGCTGTCATCAGCTTCGTATCAGCGAAATTAAACGAAACTGAGAACCTAATCAGGCTCACTGTAAACTCTGTTTTCTTCGTGCTCCGACAGTCGGGCTGTTGAAGTGACGCCCAGATCCTTTCCAAAACTTGTAACAGTTTGAGACTAGCAGAAAATTCTTTTAGCAACGTTGATCAGCGCTTACAACTTAAACTAGACAAGAGTTCGTGCTGTTCAGTTGCTCGTTTTAAAACTGTAAGACTTGTAGAAGCCGAATGATTTTACTTATCTGCCTTACGCCTCAAATACAGTGCTGATGTGAGTCGAATAGAGCAAAGAATTTTATTTTTTCCTGACATCTTAGACAGAAATGTGCGTTCAACTTTGAACTATAACACGGCATGGGCCTGATAATCGCAGACATATTAAATTGTCGTGTTCAGTTACTCGTGCCCTTGTTTATTCTATCCCCTAGATCGGCCGTGCGGGTTAGTTTATGCATGTTTTATTTCTAATTCCTTTTCTCAGAATGTTTTGGTTTTCATATTCAAAGGTCCTGTTACAGTTTGCAAACGCACGCTTTGCATCTCTCACGGACCACACACGACCGATTTTCCCGCCACTTTGGACGACCGCATCCGATGTACTTTCGCGCCTTTGGCACCTGGTGCACGATTTTATTTCAAATTTCCTTGTTAATCGTTGTTACGTCTGTTCACTTCTGCTTAAAACTGATGTTTTCGTTTCTGCTTTTGGAGTTAATATTATATCGTGTTACAAACTACGATAGGGTTTTGCCCATTCCAGCAAAAATTAATTCAATTCAAAGACCATTTTGATGATTGGGCTTCAATAGCTCGTGCATTTATCTTAATTTCAGGGCAAAATCCTTATAGCGACTTCAGTTCTAACTTAAGGAATTTATTGAAATGTACTGAAGAGGTTTTCGAAAACATTTTTTTTGAAGTTCAAGCGTAAAGTGAAGTCGTTTGTCTCAAAGGTTGTCGTTTGTGATAACATGAGGCTTCATGCTCACATTTTAATGTAATATATCAAACACGAAAGACCGTGTTTGACCACATTTCCAAACACCGAGAGGAGAATTGAAAATACGACGCGCAGCGGAGTACTTTTGTCGAACTTCGAGGAGTTCGGAAATGTTGTCAAACACTGTCTTAAGTGTTTGATATATCTTTTCAATCGAAACTAAAACTAAGGAGAAAATGGACAAAACAAATCGTAAAAATCTATGCTAATTAAGATCAGATATCCAAACACTGCCGCGGTCATGATTTCCTTTGTTTAAACCTAATGAATTATTAATGATTTGAGAATGCTATATGAAATAACGACCACAGCTAGCGACAGGTTCCTGTAAGAGGCTAAGCAGTAAACGTTTAAGAATTGTTTTTTTCTTAATATTGCCTCGGTAAGAGATTTAGCTCAGCTAAGGCAGTAGAAATATTATTTATCAACCCTGATTCTTGTAATATTTGTCGTAATATTTTAAGTTGAAGTGAACCAAGAGTGGTTAAGATAAAATCTCTAAAAAGAATTTTGAGTGAGCAGCAGCGATATAACACTTGCATGTGCCTTTCATTGTTTGAACAAATTGATCCAGTGATTCAATGTTGTTACAAAGGTTCGCCTTGCCCTACTGCAGTCGATCGATCTCATTTTGCCTTTCATGCAACTCTACCTAGAACATTCAAAGTAGAAGGCAACACCCTATAAAATCCTGTAATGGATCACGAGACGAGACGAGATTTCTTTGTCAGATCATATTGGGAACTTTGCACTTTGCACTGAACGTTCTTACATATTTGCCGAATGTCTGCACACGCATACACGCCAATCGACCTCGTCTCCTAATTTTTCCTTCTTCATACATTTTGCAATGCTCTGGAGCAGTCCGGGAGTCCAAATTTGACTCTAAATTATCTTATGAAAAGACTGGGATTTTTGTTAAAATAAATTGGATATTAATCATGTCCCAAATATCGCTCTATTACAGTTGTTATACCTTTAACTCTTATCATAGCAAAGATAACCTTCGGTAAGCGAGCACATTTCCTGACGATAAGATAAAACTTTTCGTCTGAGTGCCAACTGACTGTTCGGCTATCCTGTAACATAAGCCCTGAGTTCTAAGACGAAAAAGCCGTTCAATACAACCAGACCTATATCAATATAATCATTATAATATCACTATATTAACAAGCAAACCGATATGAACTGAAATAATCAACTATGGAACCATCAATTTCCTATATGTGATCTTGTAAGAAATCATTGGAAATTCAAACAAGTAAGAACAATTAATATTTTGATACAATCGCTGGAAAAAGACTCTGGGATTAAAGGGTGTGGCTTTAAATGTAACACTGCAAAACACCTAAAAAGGTATCCTTTCGTCATTTTTTTATCCCTTACTGGCAATCCCGCTTCCTGTTTGCGGATGTCCCGCGGAAATTAATCTTAAGTACCTTTGAGTAGAGCAAGATTAAAATTGAAACTAAGTGTATATTACATTTTTCCTGCATGTGTTTTCTTAATTCTTCTACATGGCGAAGAAAAAATATGTGATGGTCGTGATCCGATACTGGAGAGGAGGTGTTGTGTAACGCAGTATAAACACTGCTACAGTGGGTACTTCTTCCAGAAGTTCAAAATCGATAGAAAAACTCTCTTGCCTACTCCTTACCTCTATCCGTCTATCTCACTATTACTTAGTCGCTCAGATGCCCCCCCACCACCCTCCAGGAGGGACTCACTTACACTTATGAAAAGGTCGAAGATGCTCGTGCGAAAATTCAAATTAAACTCCTTAAGGAGACTGATCTAGGAGGGGCTCGAACTTTATTTGACTCCTAAAAGGTACCACTTATGGTAGCCGAACACAGTTTTCGCGCGCGCTTTTGCTGATATAATTCAGCGCGCGCACAAGGATTGCATTTATTTACTCAACACTCCCACTATCTGTGCTATTTTTCTCTATTATTGAACGAAGTGTATTGATGGCTTTAGTTTTTTATTACAAAGATACGTTAGACAAGTTAACGATGCAAAGAACCCAGCAATTCTCAGCGTTTTCTTTGTCACCGAAAGAACCCAGTTAATGCAGTGCATGCGCAGTTGCTCGAAAAATTGAGACCGATTGCTTTTGCAGAAACCTGCCGATTTCTAACGATCCAGTCGTTAGAATTTCAAGAAATTTGGCAAAAAAATAGTTCCGAAACCACGTGAATGATCTATCACAAAAAAATCTGAATTTTGACATAGGGAATTTGTAATAATACAGAACATGCAGTGAAAACGATTTACGGCGAATTATGAAAATCGTCTATGTCAAAATGTTATTAGAACAGTGTTGACAGAAGGGATTTTATGTCAATTCGTAGTGGGCAAATGATGAAAAAAATCTAACGACTGGATTTTTTGTAAATAAACAAACCGTTTTTTAAGCCTTGTTTTTAACAAGCCCCGTTGCCATGGCAACAGCACACACCTTAGCCAAAATGCGAGAATAAACCCTTCTGTGGTTAACCTTGACTCTTGCAAAAAACGGGTGCAAAGCATAAATAGTTTAAAAGTAATGGTGAATAAGGCATAGGCATTTGAAAACTGTGTTCGGCCACCTTAAAACGGAATTGGTTCGATGACCAGCCGCTGTTCAGGAAAGGAGTCCGCCCTGACAGACCGGACTCGAGAAACCAGCGGAAATCGGTCCTAAAAACTGAAATAAGACGTTTTTTGTTATTTTTTTCTTCAGGTGCACCCCAAAAAGATACTTTGAGAGCTAAAAATGGTAGAGTTTGTCCCGAACACTCTGACTGAGACCAAAAACTTTGATTTATACCCCTAAGCGAGATGACGAGCATTCCGGCGGCCTTTTGGGAGTCTTCCCGGGTTAGATTTATCAGTTCTTACTTATATTTGACCTTACGATGTTTTGTTATAATTTTCTGGCTAGACACGGCTAAAAGTATGATTTTACGAAGGAGGTGGTTTATTTGTAAAGTTCGATAACAGTATTAAGTGATCTCCGTTTGTTGCATTTTGGATTTAGCTAAGTTCTTAATCCTTTCATATATCTCCAGCTTTATTTCCTCAAGTCAATTACTGTAACTTAAGGCTTCAGTCTCGGCAAGTTTGGTGCCAAAGAATCCTTGGATTTTGACACCTTGACTTAGTAATCTTTAACTTCCAAAGCAAAATCCTGTGAAACATAACTGTACAAATGAGTAATCGAGGGGCCCCTGCAATTCAATGTTTAGTCTTTATATGGTGTCTATGTGTCATATAGTTAAACCTTGAAATTGAGTACGTACTACGTTTTATTTCGTGATGTTTCGCCCAACAGTAACAGGCAAAAACAAACGATATGGGAGATTCATACCACGATGACGTGGTTGAGAAATAAGACCTGATTTTATGCATGGGTGCTCTATTTACAAAAATGCCACACTGAACAGTTCTAAGGTGGTGGTCTTTTTCAAGAAATTAGGATTAAACTTTGGTAATTGTTAAATCCTTTGTCATGTGTCTGCAGCTTTAACTCAAGTCAATTAATTTTATAAGCTTGTAATTTTAAGCTTGGGGCAAAAACCTCCCATAATACGGACACACCGTGTAGCTTTACCCACAAAGCGAACCCTATAAAACCCTCCCGTGACAGCAGTCAAAGGAGAACGGTCGAGGAGATCTTTCATAACGTATTGCGTGAGCTCTAGGAGGACTACGTACATAGACCTCAGGTACACTTTACTGATTGTGCTGTGCAGGTTGTCTAACTTTAAGAATGCTTATGAGCCCTAGTGTGTGGCCACTGAAGAAGAAACTATAGACCTTTTAGATTCTCCATTTTACCCATACAGTTATACTGTAATTTTTGCCGTGTTTGTCCCCCAAGTAAGAGGGAGTCAGAAACCGTGATAAGGACGGTCTATTGAGTAGTACTTCATGTGGTACTGTTCATTGTGCTGTATAAGGTGGTTCTTTTTTTAAATCTGTGGATGAAACCTTAGCGTGTGACCATTCAAATGAAAGCTATTGAACAGTTCTTTCATGCGGTACTGTTTATTATGCAGTGCAAGGTGATTTAAACATTTAAACCTAGCTTCGGGCTTAAATCTTTAAATCAAAGCTATTGCGGAGCACTTTGAGTCTTTCATGTGGTACTGTTCGTTAATTATGCTGTACCTCCAACTCAGCTTTACGTTTGAAGATGTAACCTGAGCGTGCAAAATTTCTTTCATGCGATATCGTTTGTTTTGCTGTTCAGGGTTGTTACTACCTTTTTAATAACAACAACAAAACTTTATTCCTTTTTCAATAATTTACATCAGTGACTCTGAGACCATATCTTAAACTGGACTTTAAAAAGTCGTAATTTTTTTACCTTTCATTGTCTGTCGTATGTTTTTTACGCTGCACCTAAAGTGCAAGTGTTTGAAATGCCTCTTGTTTGTGACCACTGAAATGTGTGTCGTTGGTCAATTTTGATGCAGTGCTGTTAATTATGTTTTCCAAGGGACTGTGAATGAAGCCTTAGTTTTTGACCACTCAAATGAAGCTATTTCTCGTATTCAAAACCCTCAGTTTATGATTCTCTCAATTCTCCCCACTTGTTTGCTTTACATCTCAGTGATAACGTAGAGAAAATTTTTATAACGGCCCTTTTGGTGCGCATCGAGTTAAAGAAGGCGTCCAGAATACGATTCTTCACTTTTATGGGCTTGTGAAAGAAATATTTAACTACATATAGACTTCGCAATATATATCGTTAACTCTTCTGGCTCATTATGACTTCTATTGTCGAGGAAATATAGGCTCTTAAAAGTTAATTGATTGATAAGTTACTTCAACAGATATTGTAGCCAAGATTACCCCTTTTTTGCAACTCAAGTTTAGCCACATATTTATCGCTCTCTTCCGCGCGCGGTTTCGCTTTACTCGCGAAAATCCTGCGCGTTTTTGGCTGCACTACGCGTCAAGTGCGTTCGCGGGGCGTCATGCTGACAAAATCCGGCTTGTGGCTTGTAGTATCGCTTCCCCGATTCTCAAGAAGCTACCACTTCTGAACTAGCTAGAGTCAGGCGGCCATCGTTCAACGGCCGCCAAAAACATCCTCTGGAGCTCATACCGGAAGGGGTTTATTTTCAAAGTAAAGAAGAAAAGGCATTTTATTAGTTGAAAAGCAAATGTTGATGTGTAGGCACTAAACAGACTTGGTGGGGGTGGGGAGGGGATAGCTAACTATCGCGAGCATATTTCCTCCAGAGCAGAACTTTCGTGACCTCAAAGCTCGATCGGCGCTCACAAAATCAGCCGCGATCATCAACTTAACTTTTTTTTGTAAACAAAAGGCGTGTGTTTTCGCCACTCGGCTATAAACGGTAAGTTTCTTGAAATCTGTGAAGGAGTTTGTTTACTTTAGATGTCTTTAAATGCTAAGCGGTTGTTTAATGGTCTACCTCGGTTCGAGACACTTTTAAGTGAATCAATTAAAATTACAACTAACTTTGACGTAAAATTGGAAAACAACGATTAAAATAGGCGCGTAGTTTACTATTGAACGAGAGACGTTTTGTCTCGGACGGCTTCGAAAGCGCTAATTGCAAGAGTATCACAAGTCGTGTAATGGATCAAAATGAAGGCTGAGATATCGAGAAGTTGGTTTTCGCCAGTGACGTGAAACTCGAGTTAATTGAGGGTAAAAAGGTGAAAACTGCCCGTTTATCTCTAACGAAACATCGTGTCACACGAATGCGCGGAATTTTAGCGCGGACAAAGTCGATTAATTGCAGCCTGCCGTTTCCCTGTCAGTAACAAATCCCCCTAATTGATGATTAATTGTAGGTTTTGCTCTCTTATCTCGTACAGATCGCTTCACCAGTTTATCTCACGGGCTCATGATGAAACTCACCGATCAGATGAACCGAAGGCAGTGCGTGTAAACATTTCAGAATGCCAGTGAATGAATGAAACCGACATAATGAAGCTAGTTATCACGGCGCCACGGTTTCGGAATTTTCACAGATGTAACTGAGAAGACACTCAGAGTTGATTTATTATCGCTTCCGTTTCCAGTGGGTGCGTTTGGTTCCTTAATTGCGGAGTTAACACGAGAAATGGGCCTCTCTTGTCCACGGTTCACGGCGGTTTTGCTGTTGTTTTTATTTACAATTCCCAAGCTTTCAAAGCCTTGTATTCACATCCTCAATCATGGCTGGAAGCCACTGAGTGCTGGAGAGCGCGCTAAACTCGTCAAAGTGGTTTTCATTGGTAAAGTTGTGAATCTGTACACGTACGATGAAGTCTCACAAACACACGCGGCCGATTTTGAGGTGTGGAGAATTCTCAAGGGAAGGAAAATCGTGGACGAGGTTTTAGAAATGCACCCTTCACCACTGGTGAAAGTCTACGGCTTCGGGGAGAAGAGGTTATGTCGCTCGCCCGTTAACCCAGGAGAAGTTCACATGGTTTTTATGGTGTACGAGCCAAACTCTCGCTCGCTCGTTGCACGATACGATGACATATTCGGTGCGACAGCTCCAGCCACTGCCAACAACGAAGCCGATGTATTACAAGCATTGGGTAAGTAGGCCATGAAGATTTCATTTACTTGTTGTCTCTTACGACCCTGTACATTTATCCCGCAAAAGAATGCTTATCTGACCATTAAGGACACCCCCATTGCAACATTAGCAAAAATAACTTAGCAGACAAGGTCATTTCGCAGATTGTCAAACACAGACAAATTTAGCTGACGCTCCGAGAAACAGCCCTGTCGAGCAAGGATTTGAATAGCGTAGAGACAAAATATGTTGCGCTTCTACAGTTTTAGAATATGGGTAGCTTTTGTAATGTATTTTTATAGTGATGGTAACGTTTCCTGCACGTATGAAATCGGAAAGATTTGCTTTAAATTACCGGGAATTTCCTTTAGCGATCTTGAGCGGGAAGGATACGGGTACACTTAGATTGTATCAGAATTCCTGCTCGAAAACGTGACATTCAATCAAATTGAACTGACAGAGGGAAAACAATACGGAAACCTAGATATACTTGATACGCGCAAAGATGTTTCGTGTCCTTATCAAGACGGCTGCACGAGGAGACAGTAAACCTTGACGTGTCATAAATAACCTTTTTCGGGCTGTCAAAATCGTTCTGGAACAGTGGAACTGCCGTCTCAACATCTGTTTTAGGACTGTTTTGCAAGACACGTGAACGGCGCTGGTTGAGATTGGAAACACATTTTTGCAAGAAAATTGTCCTCTAACGGATTTCACCTGCTTGAACTTCAGGTCAGAGCGCATACAAACACACTGGACCGCAAAACCCGCGATTGAAGTTATCCGGGGCTTATTTTTCACGCCTCTTGTTGTCTAATACAAGAGACAGAGAAAGCCCTCCCGCGACTCCCGGTAGTTGTGGTAATCGGCCTCCCGCGCCTAGCTGTCAACATCGCGCAATCCACTTTACGAGCAGTTTTCCCGTCCTCTGGTATTCAGTGTCTCACACGTTCGGGTGAATTATGACTGAAAAGCGTCTCGTCACCGAATGACAGAGCTATTTTGTTTCAGGGATTTCCGGATTGTTCCTCGGGCCTCCGTAAAGTTTGTGCTCGGTGGTTTGACAGAGATAAAGAAAGCGACGGGTTTATAGAAAACCGTGACGATCTGTTTTAATCCACTTGACTGTGATTGGCGTAGAGAGCTGTCATGTTTTACTTGTGTGGTGAGTGGTAATCGATCACTCAAAGTACCCTAGAGGTAGCCAAAACAATCGAATTGAGTAATTTTACACAAGCACTGCTGTCCACAACAGTCTCTAAACTGTTGAAACGGTCGACAAAATTCTTCGATATATTATTTGGCAACAATTGCTGACACAATTACAGACATTTTCCTGTATTCCTGGTTCGTTTAATTAGAGGAAATCCGAGCAGCTGTGATATGGTTTTCGTACGAATCGGCTGATTGGCAAATTGTCTTTTAAGAAACTACCGTACTTTGTCAGGAAGGCTTTCTGATTGAAAACTTTCTCTCTTCGCCTTTTTGCTCGCTTCAACTTTTGCTTTCCTCCAAATCCTAGTTTTTAGCGTTCTTTACGGATTCATTTCGCGTTGTAACTAAACCGCCGCCTACCTCGCCGACCGCCAAATTGCTCATGGCGCGTTCCATGTTATTCTCAATGCAGTGGACGCTAAGTGTAATCCGTCTTCATTCAGTGTGGTGCCACAGAGTCTCTCCTCTTTAACAACATAACGGATTAACTCAAACTTCATTAGTGTAATCCCTAGGTGATGAGCAAATATACCGAGCCGTAACACCTTTGTGGCGACAGCCAGACTTAGAGTGCGTTCCTCGCGAGGTCTCGTAAAGTCGACAGAGAAGGTTTAATCTTAAAACGCGGCAAAACGCGAGGTTTAAAAAAAACCGTCGGTAGTGCGAAATACAGTGCGGAATGCCAATTTTTCGAACCTCCAAGGGAAACGAAAATTGGTTCGAAAAATCGGAGAGTTCGAGAAATCAGGGGTAAAATTACAGTGTTCGACTGAGAAGAGGGAACGACTTTTGGTTCGAGTTATCGGGAGGTTCGAAAAAATGAGGGTACGAGAAATCGGTATTCCAGTGTGCTATGAATTATTCTACAATCTTTGAGGGATTCTCAAGAGGACGATTATGCGATCAGAAGAAGATATTAAAGAGTGTAATTTCGGAGATACAGTAATAGGACCGGTATAATGGTTGCGGTCTGTGTGAAATTCAGGCGTATTCTGCCCTTCCAGAGATAAAAGATGAAAAATCTTGAAATCGATATGGGCTGATACGCAGCAAAGCAGTGTGGCAGAAAATACAGGGCATTAGCAGAGTCTTAGTATAAAGTCGTCCGTAATCGAAATAGTTTATACCATATCTCAAAGAGCAGGAAATTCAATCTATTTATGCACAGAACTCATAACAGTAAGTGAAGTAGGCTAAAAATCTTTGTAAGTGCTGAAGATAAGCGCGCGGCTATGAAACCGAAAAGGATATATTTACGAAAACACTTCGGCCTTCATTTCGGCATCAGACTTCAAATTATCGAGAAATTAGAAACGTTTTATGAATTTGCAAATCCAATTAATGAACAGAATTAGGAGAAAATTATAGTTAAGCTTCATAATTCTTTCTAACAGACTAAGCGTCGGTTACAGAGACTATTCTGTCGGGGGCCTATGCCCCCAAAGAAACATTGTACCAAAGTCGATCACATGTATCGGTTGGACAGACATTTTAGCGACACACATAAACGAAAGTTCATCTTGAAAATAAAGAATTTTTCTGCGGTTTGGTTTATTTATACTATATTACACAAGAACAGAATGTTTATTTTCTGATAGCATTAAGTAAACAGATAAGGGCATGTTATGGTGATCGGATTTTAATAAACGCAAACAACGTTAACAGCTAAATAATTACGTGGGTGAGAAACTTCGGGATAAAATTCTAGCATTGCGATCTGTCAATTTAGTAAGTCGTACATCAGTATGTGCTAGACAAAGACAAGTTCATCTTTTTTTCTGAATCCCTTGACAATCTATAATCACATTTAGTAACTTTGCTCAGTTAATCGAGTACGAACCTGTTTTCTCGTGATAAAGCGTGGATGAAATCCAATTACTGTCACAATATAGCGCGGATCACGGAAGCCAAATGCAAAAATGCGAGTTACGACGTGGTTTCTTTTAAATTTTTCAATTTTATCGATTAATCAAAAGAAAATAGTAATTTCTCGGATAAACGCGTTGAACAAGAGATAATACTGGAGCTTTTACCCCGACGAAGTTAAGTTGTCCATATTTATTTTCATAACACTTGTTGTTGAATTGGTTCACTTCTTAGATTTTAAGTGAAATTCAAATATCCAAACTCTACAGTAGTACAGTATCACATTTTCACCGATAACTCTCTGTGTGGGTCATTGATGAAGATTTTACTGCACAAACAGACAAGATTATCTCCCTTTTGAAGGGAAAAAAGCTGACTTTGCTTATCTTTTTTATATTGGATTGGAATCCATGCCAAGTTGAACAACTTGGTCAGCTTACTCGGCAGGGTTAAGCCGTGGGCTGTCTTGTGTTGTTCGGAGAGAATCGAACCCTCCGCGGAGTAAAATTGGTGACGCCATGTTCGCAAATTTCTCCACGGAATTATATTGCCAGTGTAATTAGCCTACTACAGCGGGCATATAACAAGAGCTGTAAATTATTATATTCATGTTAGCATTTCTCGTGACTTTGCCAACTTTGATGTCGTGCGATGTTTGACCCAGGGACATAAAGGCTTTGCGGAATCTTTTCGGCTTATCGATGAATGCAAGCGAAGTTTCATGATGTGTTATTTATCCAGCGCTACATGCCTCCATGAACTGAGAAGTCGCTCAAGACAGTTGCGCGATAAACAAGCCCAAACCGATATGACGGAGACGAGTAGTTTGGAACCAAAAAAAAAAACGCTTGTAGAAATTGGCGCTTTGCAATTCTTACAACGCCCAAAATCGGGACGCGTTTTTTTATAGCTGAATATATAGCATTGTGCTTTCTTTCCAAGCAAAAGTATTCATCTGTAGTTTGATAACGGAGCGAGCTTGTAGAATGGTGAAAAATTTTTCTACTTGTTTCAAGTTATCTGCACGTTAGAAACTAAAGTATGCGCTATTTTTACACAAACATCTTGAATGTATAACAGGATAACAGGCACTTCTTTTTTTATGGAAGATGCCCTAAAATAGGACAATGCGAACTGCCCCAAATCTTTAATTGCCAAAAATGTATCGGACCTGGGTAATATCTTTGACTGAAAGAGTAAATTAGGGAGTGTAATCTGCAATATGGTAAGGGAGATTTATGAGTTTTATCTTTTTATGGAAGGGGTGGTTATAAACGTAACCACACTCTTGAAACACATGAAACTTCAATTTTTTGATACACTAGAGAAAATGCAATGAAAAACTGTTCCCATTCCGTGAAGAAATCATTCCACAACGATTTTCATAAAGCAATATTGAACGCAATATTGAAGCCTGAAGTTTTCGTCTTTTTATCTCAAGACACTTGAGAAGCTATTTATCTTTGGTTCTTGATGGGGTTTAATTTTTAATTTTTAAACTGTCAGCTTGGAAATTGCGCATTGCTAGCGGAACTTAGCTCTGAGATGGGCAAAATTTGCCCATAGTAGAGAAATTGTTTGAGATTTTAACTGATTTCAGAGAAATTGTGGACACAATTACATAATAACAGAGATTCCAGCACCCTTGTCCAGACCCTCTTATCTTAGTTATGGCTAAATCCCTGAATCGAATACGATACTAAGGTATCAGGTTAACTCCGAGCACTTCAGTTTTCAGATAATCAAAACCGCATGGTATCTCAGCTCCTCAAGAGCTCTCCAAAGAAGAGACATCAGGGACCCAGGTCTTTTTTTAATGTGACTTGTTAACAAAACAGTTTTAGGGTAGACTTGAAAAACTTCACAAACGAGAAATTCTTTGTATGCCTGCGCGTTAATCTTTGTTTTTTGGTCACGCTGTCGTTTTCGAGAACTTTCTTCTAGGATAACTAGCGCTGGAAATTGAAACTACCCATTTTTTTCCCTTGAACTCTGTGTGCTTATTCTATATTAGAAAAAAAAATTAAACGAAAACTGAATAGACCCTTGATTTTTTGTGTTTGTTTTGGCGTTTAGAACTGAGCAGCAAACGTTAACTCGAATGATTTCCCTTGGTCTAGGACAGTGGGGGACTTCTAATTAACAGACCTAGTTGTCCAAAACCGTGTCCATTCTAACGCGCACTGTTTCTAGAACTCGTTTTTAGAGCGTTTTATTTCAATTAAAACCAATATCTTCCCTCCAGATAACTGGCCGGAATGAGATGGAAAGGGCGCGGCAAATGTGTGAATCGATTCCGAAGATTATGCTTTCCGCTCAGTTCGGGCTCAAATTTGAACCAGCTAGAGAACGTTTTTGTTCAATCATTTCTTGGTATGCAAAGTTGAAACGTGCTTTGATGCTTGTTCACCCACCGATCGATGTTTGCAGCATAATCGGGGCTGTAGCGATTACTCAAAAATATCAAAGGCTATGCTTTAATTCTTTAACAACCATTTTCAGTTTCGACTAGTTTTACAGCAAGAAACAGCGGCAAACATAGAAGAGAAATTTTATTAAGTTTGTGACGAAGTAAAGGCAAGAACAACATATCTTTTCCAGTTCATTTTGAATCAACAAAAGCGCACTTTCAACGAATACGCTTGAGATTAATCGAGATTAAGTAAAAAGCCTGTACCGAGAAAGTTGCCCACTTCAGTTCAGTATTGAGACAATTTCATAAATGGATGATAATTCATTGTTTAGGTTTATGTTCTCAAAATCTAATCTGTTCAGTAGCGATCGACTGTGGTTTTTGGTTTGTTACCAGCGAATCCGAAGTATTTCGTTTTATCAACAACAGGGAAATCGGGTTGCCTGGTGTGATGTGGTTACTGATTTTATCAGCAATTTCCGAGTGGTTTAGTAACACAAAACCCAAGAGGACCATTTTAAAGCCGGTTTAAACTGCTTCATCTATTTTCGTTAAAAGCTGCTTTTCCACGCGAGCCAATCTCCTTGAAATAGTCGGAAGGATTATGAAATGTCTTATTGGCATTGCACTAGATGCAATGTTATTGTTTACAGATGACGAAGATGCAATTTACTTGAGATCATTACGTTTGCTTTTCCGCGCGTGTTCACGAAAATTCCGAAGCCGTGTTCGGAAGTCAGCTAGGCCTCTAAGGGAGTTTACAGAACAAATTCATTTGTTTATTCGTTCGCTCCGCAATTTTGAGAACTTGCCGGGTAAGCAACGCGGATGAAAACGTGCAGAATAAAGTCGATATTTGAAAGAAAGCTCTTTCGTTACCCACCCGCAATGAAGTTAAGCCAATTATTATAACGAAAAGGAAAAAAAACTTGGAGCGGTTATAAAGGAAACGAATCTTGCACTTGTGGAAGGTGACCTTCCCTCAGGACTGTTACACATGAGCTTCGAGTATGAATTCACGATCTAGAGAATCAGCGTTGTACATCGTTTATTTTACTGAACAAGCTGCTGAGAAAAAGAGATTGAATCGATTAAAAAACTGAACAGTGTCTTGAAGGTATCCTGTTTATTTAACGTGCCTTTTTTTTCTTCGTCACGCCCTTTGTTTACAGCAATGTTTGACTGCAGTTTGTATAGAGATACAAGCCGTTTTGAGGAAGGAAAAATCAGATATTAGCAACACAGTTAATTTATATTCATGGGAATCGTCCAGACAAATGGCTTTTACGTAAATCATTGCGTTCTAGCGTAAACGTTTTGTCGCGTGCAGTGATCTCCCAACTCGGCGATTAATTTGTTAACGAGTCATTCCAGCGACCTTAATTGCACAGACCGAGGTAAATGATTAGGTGTTGTGCTGTACTGTCACGGAACGATTACTGGCTGTGAGTGCCGGATCTTGGCTCTTAATGAAAACTGCTTGATGGCGGACACACACATACTCAATGCAAACCTCAGTCTTTTGCATGATTTTAATTTTCTCGGGTGGCGCTAAACCTGCGATTTTAGTATTCCAAATTTTTGATGAATAAGTGCTTGTTCGGCCTTTCATTCATTAAACGATAAATATTCTGCATTCTTGATAAAACACTGTGTCCCTATTCAAAAAATCTGCTCTGCAATACACACTGACCCTTTCTTCGCTCGTATCGTAAAATCACCAACTTCCAAGTAACCAATTTTAAAAAAACCCTCGTTTCTCTTGTAGCCAGTTTTATTTCAGCTCGAAACGGAAAAACTTCTTTTCCGCAGTTCACTGTTGAGCCTTAGTAACAAATATGCATTTTCAGCGCTGGGAAATATTGACGGATATTTACCGGCCCACTTGGCACTCGCAATGTATCCCAGTTATTTACCTTCACTTCGGGCAGTAATTAGTAATGATTTCCCGTGATAACATCTGAGATAAGCGATATCCGTAGTCTACCGTGCTAATTGGGCGTAAAGGCTGCCAAATGCTAATTGGAAACTCGTGAGTTTTTCAATCTGCGTTGAAAATCTGTTAGGGGAAACTTGAGTACTGCATGATACTGCGCCAGCAAGGCAATTAGGATCAATAATCTAATTTGCTTTCCACCGCAGAAAAACGCTAAATAGGGCCCAAATCCTTAACTTTGTCGTTTAAATCTTCGGAAGACGTTCGCAAGTATAACTTCTTGCATTTCTCTAGCTACGTACCAACAATTTGAAGTTAATGGAGACCATTTTATTTTGGCAGTTTTGCGCAACTGAAATTGCCGGAATACTTCTGTATTGAAAGTGATACCGGCTCTAATTAAGGCGAGGTTAAAGCTACAGCAACTAGCGCGAAGTGACAGTAATGTATCTGACTGACTTTTTAGACTTGTTTCCGCGAACGTGTTGCGGAGTTGAATAGAGCTCTTTACAAAATTAAAGTTGGTATCTCAAGGAAAACGAAAAACGAAACGTTGTGCTTTCTATTTGAGAAATATGTATCTTGTGGACAAGAACGGGCATTCGAACCTCTTTTGGTTTTGACGCGGTTTGTTTCATATTTCGTTTCTCTGTATTACAACGTTGAATCCATGCCAAAGTTTTTAGTCGCGTCACTTGATGTAAAGTGTCCTGTTTGTTATTAAACGCAACTTTAACCTTTTTTCAAGCAAATATCCGGAGTGTTCAAAAAGCGGACGATTTCAGCTGTTTCATTTATAGAGATGACAAAAACTGCTTTCACTTCTAAAGGTTTTGTATAAACGCATATCCGGAGTATTAAAAAAGCCGACGACTTTACATGTTTCTTATTTGATACAGATGACAAAAACTGCTTTCACTTCTAAAGGTTAATTTATTTCCCAAAAGACAAAGTTCCCAATCGATTGAAATCGAAAGATCATTGACCACTCGCGTTTTCTCGCGTGTCATCACGTGTCCTCGCGAGCCCTCGTGCGTGTTTCGTGGAGAAGCGCAGAAATAGTAGCGAACATGAGTTTCTTTCAGTAATTTTTTTTTTTTGGAATTGACTTCACGCTGTTAATGAATACTGCCATATTAATAACAGTTTCCTCTTCGAAACTCAGGTTGGAAACCCTGGTCGAGCTGGAGCCGTTGCAGTAAAAATTGTGGCGAAGGAGATCAAAGTCGTACTAGAGCGTGCCGTGCCAAAGACTGCGATGGCGCAACGAAGGAAGCAAGAACATGCAACAAATACGAGTGTTATGGTAAGGGAAATGTCAGTAATGTTAAATGAAGCCTTTTTCGAGCTGTTAGATCAGTTGGTGTTCTAAGTAACGAAAATGGAAGGTGAAAAGAATGAAAGAAAGTAAAACTAGAAGATCAGAGTCCGGATATGGAATAAAATATTCGTCACTTTGATGTAAGTGACGTAGATGACATTTTCGTTTTCATGTCTTGGTCTTTTTCTGATTCTTACTATATATCCAATCAATTTGAGCGCGCGTGGACCGGGTTCCCGTCAGCTCCCAACGGTAGGCTATTTTAAATGTTGCGTTCTTTTTCAGGTTTAAAGGACATAGCAAGGCTTCTTCGAGAGGAACAAAATCCACCCGACTCTAAAAACGAGGACATAAAAGTGGAAAACGGACGCGTGGCGTCCATACCAGTGTCTAAAGTATTTCGCTATTATAATTATTTTCCTGATGACTTCTCAATTCTCGTTACATTTCGCGCCATGTCGCTCACAAACGTCTATCTCGTGGCCATGTACGATTATCGCAAACATCTGAGCTTAGGAGTGCGGATAAAGCCAGATTTGATAAGTTTTGAGTTCGAGAAAATCTCGGCGTTTCGCCAGGGTCAATGGTCGCTGGACTTTGCTGTGAAAGCACGCAAGGCACAGTGGCACACCCTGGGCATTAGTATCCAGGAACGAAACGTGACGGTTTTTTGGGACTGCAAGAAGACTGGGTCCAAGAACTTACCTGAAAAGTTTTCTCTTATTCCGGACCCGTTGGGTGAGCTTTACGTTGGGAAACCCAGGCTTCTTTCTTCCGTCGAGAGATACGAGGTGAGTTGAAGGGAAATATTGATTTATTGTAGCGAAATACTATCATAGTATCTAAATTGTAGAGGAGACGAAAATGCCTTTGTTTAATTTGCCAACTCAAGTCTTGAAAATAACTGTAATTACAGCGCTTACATTCGATCTCTGAAATTTATTTCTGAACCAACAGTTGATCTATCTGTGGTCGTTGATCAGCTAGCTCTCCTCTCAGGAAATGGCAGAATTTTTTTTGTTTTCAGTGCAGATTCAAAAGGTCACGTGTATGGGCTGTGATTGGTAGATTTCAATCGATTTTGTTTTGTTTCTTTTTGTCTAAGGTTCGTCAGTCATTATGGCTGACGGCAGCGTAAAATACGATCGTTGGTTCGGCTTTGCACTTTAAAGTTCGCATGATTTTATTTGTAAAAAGCGAGGGTAATTTCCATTCAGTGTCATTAATCTCGAAAGAAGATAAAACGTACCAACACAACGCACAAACGAAGAGACAGACAACGAAGCAAACATGAAAACAAATAAACAAACAAAGAGGTAACCAAAGACGAATGGTGTTCTCTCACAAACTGACTTAAGACTTAATAACGGCAGTCATCAAGGTGGGCTGTATGCAATCTGCTTCAAGCCAGTGCATTTAGATTTCTTTTCGACTCTGTAGTTTTGTTGTTGTTGTTGCTGTGCCGTGCCCGTCTCCGTGGTAACATAGAGCATGCGTGTGTCTATATAAAGTGTGTTTCAATATGTGTCTGTGTTTTTCAGATTGAGGTTAGCGAGTTGTACTTCGTCCCAGACGCGGGCGCGTCCAGAGATCAATGCGAGGCTCCACTTTTCAAACCAGTGAGTGCTTATGATATTCAAACTGAATCTCTTGTCAGTCGTGTTATGTTCAGCTTTAAGACTCTCCTCTTTTTTAATTACATTTTCCACAATTCCTCTTGGGAGAACTTCTTTCTCGGTCAGTATTGTTGCGGGAGATGAAAAGGTGGATGGTTCTTATAACCTACGGTACCTACTTGAATTTGTCTGAACTAATTTAAAGGTAGTTTTGTACGTGGCCAAAATAACACAAAATACCGTGAATGAGCTTCGTTAACGTTACACTCAGTTACACTTCGAAAAGGCTAACCTTGCCTTTTGGCTTATTTTGTAGCTTCTAGACAAAGATGAAAATGAAGGCAGTGGTGGTGGTGGCCCTGAAATTTATCACAAAGAAGGATCTGGTACGCCAAATTATGTTGACGATCCTGAAAATGAAGGTTTGTTCAGGGAAATCGTCAGTTGTGCTGGCTTCGCGCAGCCATATTGATTGCATTCAGCGTATAGTGTGTTTAGTTAGCCGAGATCTCTTTTTAAATTAGAGGTTCTGTTTGATAGTGAGATATTAGAGGAAACTCTTCTCGCAGAGGTTCTTGCAAATTGTGTCGGCAGGTAGCTGAAGAAAGCAAGGTGAAGGGAACATTGCTTCGTCTAACATTCCGTATAACTGGCAAACAAGTAAAACAACCAACTCGCCCCCAGAATCGCACATCGCGTGATATCTTTCTCTTTTGGTGTATATGTGACATGTAACCTGCTTTTCACGAAACTGAAAAATATATGCGTTACAAAAGAACAAGTTGTAATTTGTCCCCAAACCCAGTTTTTGTGTGGTGTAGTTGTTTGTTTGGGTGGCTTTGCACAGCCCGGGGAGGGGGGGAGGAGTGTCATTTTGACGTTGATAAGCTGTCTCTGTAACATAACCCTGTCCTTATTCTCGTAATAAAGTTCTTAGCATTTGATTTTTTTTTCTTCGCGAGATGTACCTATTCATTTTAAACTTGTAAGCAATTTTCTATGTATATGCAATTGAAAAAAGTTGATATTCGGGCCCTCCCGCGCTTATTGCTGTCGCTGGCGTGGAAACAGCACAAGTACAGTTATTGTAATGCCCATCAAACAGTTTTTAGTGAGGTTCGCATTGCTGTACGTAGCTGTGGTAGTTTGCTTTACCTCCCTACCATCATAAGTACTGTGCTATTCAGCCGAGGCATTCTAATAATCCACTAACCTCTCTTGCTTCCAGCTACACAAAAAACACATTATTTTGTGTTGTTATCATCATCCTTATCGTCATTGTTATTGGCATTATCATTGTCCTCGTCATCATCACGATCATCTTCATCAAAGTTATTTCTGTACGCACCATATGGGAGGCAGTGTGGCCGAGTGGTTAGGGCGCCGGACTTAAAATCCGGAGGTCGCGGGTTTAAGTCCCGCTCTGACCACTTAGCTTGAGTTGTTTCTTGGTAGACCTCTGTTCAACTCTTCGGTCATGCTTGTAAATCTGCCTCCCGCCAGTTGGGATTTTTAAGCCTTTTATGTTTATTTGAAATATTTGCTCCTTTCAGTTTAAGTGGCACGCTTGAGAAGGAGCTAGTTGTAGCTCATTGCATCGACCACTATAAACACTCAAAATTTAACATTTTTTTTAACAACAACCCATTAGTGTATGGGGCGGTATGAGTATTTACATAGTGAGTGAATCGTTTCAGGACTTCTTTAATCATGTGCTTTATGTGTTTTTGTCCATATAGTGGAAATCTCCTGGTCTGAATGGTCTCAATGTTCCCAGACGTGCGGCAAAGGCCAAAGGAAACGGGTGATGATGTGTGACCTGGAAAACAGCTACTCTGATGAAAACGGTCTACCGAGTGAGGAGTGTCTCAAGGCGCTGCAAAATGTTGATGTTAAAGAATGTTATCTACAGGACTGTCCTGGTATGAAAATGCACGCTCTCTTTCACACTACCTCTTCCTTCAAATTATCCCACCCTACCTCTCCCCCTCCCCACCCCCAACCCCCCCGTCCGCCATAATGTAGAATCATGTAGGCAACGATTACTAAAAAGAAATCGTTGCGTGATATTTCCACTAAGCAAGATCTCGCGCAACCTGTCACGGAGCGGCGCGGCGCACAGAGATGGCGAGACATCTCGCGCGTTTTATTCAAACTTTCTGTCAATTGTCTCCTCTCCCGGTTTACCAGGGAAGTCCCCCGGGCCCCCATTCTTCCTGAATGGACAGACGTTACCTTTCTTTAGTTGCGGCTTTACTTATTGTGTAAGGCTGCTTTGAATTTGATGGAGTATGTTAAGTTATTTGGTTTGATATTATTTTCAGCCAAATGTGATCGTCCTTGTTTAAATGGAGGATTCTGTATCAGCCGCAATCATTGTCAGTGTCAGCCTGGTTACTATGGAGACATCTGCGAGAGAGGTTTGTGATGGTTTTAGTTCCTTGATCAATAAAATAATAATAATAATAATAATAATAATAATAATAATAATAATAACAAATCAGGCTGTCAGAAAACTCAAGGGTATTCTAACGAGGAGAGAGTTAGAAAAGTGAAAATGAAACATATCGTAAACAAAGAAATCATTGATATTGATAATCATTCACATGAATATTTGTGAACTGAACACTGAATTTTACTTTACCATTTAGTGGCTAAAGAGATCGTATCACCAATTTATCTGAAAACATAACAGCTTTATGTATCTGTTTACTCTCGTTAGGTCGTTTTAAGAAGAAGTGGAGTCTTGTTTTATCTGCTTTAGAAAACCTAGCCTTCGTTATAACTCCGATATAACACGGCCATTCATTCTGTATGCACTATAATTTACCTATCAACTCCCCAATCAGAGAACATTAAATCTCGTATTTTTAAGATGTAGATTATATATTTTCCAGTGGAATGCAAGATTCACTGTCGTAATGGCGGAACTTGTGTAGGACCATACAAGTGCAGCTGTCCCCCCGGATATGGAGGAACGCAGTGCGAGAAAGGTGAAAAGGCATTTTGTTGGCGGGTTACCTTTTAACAGTTAATTTATTAGTTGAGCTAGCCAGGTCTTGCCATTAATTGGCAGTTGGAGTAAATGCTTTATAAGAAAAAAAGGCAACAGGCCGTTCCATATATCGACAACACTTACCACTTACAATGACAAGACAATAAAGGAGACTTGAGGAACGAAGCGTTTTCCATTTAGTCAAAGATTTCTTGAAATCTCGGCTCGGAGGAAGATTGCAAAGGCTTTGTGCCCCCCCCCCGTCCACCCCATCCACCCTTGAAGATTCTCGAGTAAGCGTAATTTTTAAAAAGGTCGAGTTTGTAGGTTCCATTTTTTCACGCATGAATTTTCACTTCTTTTCTTCACAACTTCGTTCACAACTTTTCTTTGGACCAAAATTTCAGGGACTATTTTGACTAAATGGAAGGCTTACCTGATATGGTTCTGTAGCTCTCATAAGATAACTACGTTCTGGAAACTGGAAATTATCAAGGCCTTGAAAAACCATGAAATTTATTTCTAAATTTTTCGCTTTTAAAGATATTTCCACGTGAAATAGTCAGTAATTATGATTTTTGCAGCGCAGAATAGAGCAGTTTTCTTTAACAAGGTGTTCTTGCTTGAAGTTTTGGTCCAACAAAGGACACGAGCCCTGTGTTCGACTACAAACATTCCTAGTTAACAACAGATTTTGTTATACCTCTCAACTCAAATACGTTTTCCGATCGGAGGCCTAGGATCAAAGGACTTTTGTTGTTGTTGTTGTTGTGTCATGGGCCAATACTAACTCCCTTGGGAAACACTGAGTAACTTGAACTCTCGACTCGCACGTGATCAGTTCGTGCACCAGGTTGAAACCGCGGCAAATTTGTGTGCCAGCCGATGTCAAAGAAAGATTTTTTTCGCAGTTTTTTTATTTTTGAGTTGTGAGGAATAACAACCTAACGACTAGCCCCACGGGAAACTACCCTCAGAACTCACTGTCATTAAGTGGTTATTAACTGTCGAATGTATGTTGTTGTTGTTTCTCATAGCGTTATGTAATCCACCCTGTCAATATGGCGGACAATGTAAAAGACCAAATGTGTGCCACTGTTCTCGAGGGTTCCTAGCACCATACTGTAGACGTGAGTACCTTAGCTAGGCCAGTGAATAGAAGAATTACTTCTTACAGTGAAACGCTGGTTAATTTTGTAGTTTTCTCTTCGATTATCACGAGCTGTTTTAACGGTGTTTACCACGTTCGTCCCCAGCCTCCTGTAGTCCTCTTTGCTTGAATGGCGGCGTCTGCGTGGGACCGAACAAGTGTCGCTGCGCCAAAGGCTTCACGGGAGAATATTGCCAACAAGGTATGCTGGGTTAGAATATTGTCTATTTTAATATCGACAAGAACATCATCCTCTTGGGAGCAATTAACACGACAAATTTTATTAATTCAATGTGTTCGTTCCGAGAATTAGGCGTGATAATACGATAGATTATTTTTCCGCCTCCCTGTCTTCTTAACTATGCACTGGAAATAAAAAGAAAAATCAGCTGTTTATTACTGTTAAAAATTGAATATCGCAAAACTAAACCCAAACCGTACCAATTACTTACCAATTAGACTACTCAGCCAATCTCAACCGTAGTAAAACCGAAACCAAACTATCTGCCGGATTACTTTCGACGCTCAATTGAAAACCGCTCTCTATCTCTCTTCGAACCTATCAGTTGATTTAGCGCGGAGAAAGACGTTAAAAATTGAAGCAGAAAAATTCCATTCTAATGACGTAGCACCACAGGCCTGTAAAGTGTCCCTGTTTGGCTCAGATTTCACATGACTCTCTCAGAGGCGACAGAATTGAAGTAGCTTGGTCACGTTTTCTGCATCTTAAAAAGTTTATCCTAAATTTTTCAAGTTCGTCTTTTGTAATCCGTGTTAGTCTTCTCCATGACATTCTTAGCCATTTTTGTACGCAGCCAAAATAGCTCAAAATTGCGTAACTGAACTTTTTTAAGACTGGCCATTAGCCATGGGAGATAAAAGGATTTAGATTTGCCAGATTTTTACCTCCATCTTTTTGCCTCTCTTTTATTGCAGCGGTGTGCAACCAGCCCTGTATGAACGGCGGTGTTTGCTACCAACCTGACAAATGCTCTTGTCTTTACGGCTGGCATGGAAATAGTTGCGAGAAAGGTTAAGTACCCTAGCGGAACTCCCATATATCAGCCATACGGGTACCCCTCCACCCCGCACCTCCCTTCACCCAACTCCGGAGAACAGGCGTTATAAAATTCTAATAGCAACACGTTCTCCCAATCTAGCGCTACGGTTGTCGCACTATACAGAAGTTAAGCCCGTCATTACATTTATTGACTGTCGTATTTATCGGTGAGCAGGGAGGGCGCAGTGGTGACAGCGCTAACCTCCCAGCAATGTGGCCCGGGTTCGTCTCCGGCCCGGAGCCGTATGTGTTGTTGGTTCTGGTCTTGCTCCGAGGGTTTTTCTCCCGGTTCTCCGATTTTCCTCCCTTCTTCCTCCCTCCATATTTTAAATTCAAATTCGACCAGGTTAGAGGACCCGCGTGGAAACCAGCTAAGACTGATGTGCCTACCTCTCTAAATATTGTAATTTACTTTTTTTGCTCTCTCCTTTTGCAGCGCGATGTTTTCCAAACTGTCGGAATGGCGGCACGTGTATAAGACGTAACACGTGTATGTGTTCTCGTGGATACTTTGGTTATTACTGTCAGCATGGTGTTGGTGAGTATTAAGTGAGTATGAACTCAAATTGATTTTGTATCACTCTTTAGAACGTCACTCTTTTGCGTCTTCTGGTTTAACGAAGAGATTAGTCCTGGGGACGAGTTTCAAGTTTGTCTGTCTTGTTCCCTGTAGGTAAAAAATCGTGAACACAGAATTGAGGACGAAGATACTGGCGGAGAAGAATCAATGAAAAGACTTATTTGACAATTTCCTGAAGTTCCCGAAGTCAGGAGGAATGTAGAATTATCCAGTTTAACTTATGTTTTTGTGAGAAAGGGAAGAAAATTTTCAAAATTTTGAGTCTACAAAGACTTAACCTGCAGAACAAGCGGATTAGCGGGCTCTATCGTGATCGCGCTTCGAGCGCGCGCTCGTATATCGCAATAGAGCCCGCTAATCCGCCTGTTCTGCAGGCTAACAAAGACTACTTCGCGCCTATGGTTTTCAAATGTTAGAATCAGAATTGAGTTTTACAAACATTATTAGATGCCGCCGCCTCTCGCTCAGGCAAGTCACGCAATCTTTATACCAGAAGCGGTGCGTGACAAGCCAGTGGTTCAGTTGAGTGAGCGATTTAAGGCAGTTCGAAACTGTTAGAATTATCATCGTCGAGTTGTGAAGAGTTTTCTTTCTAGAAACTGAGTTGAGTTTCTGATCTTGAAGCTGTACATAATAGCTTCACCTTGCGCTTTGTACATTTCGCCTTCGTTTGCAATAATTTACTGAAAGTGTTCAACACTGTTTCTAGACGAATTTTTCACCCGTTATTAGCCCCAATATTTCTCAGTAAGCTGTTATTATCGTAAAGGAGACACAAACAGTTCCAAACCCAACACTATAAACATGCAGTTCGACTGTTATCTGCAACAATGACGACAAAAAGAGCAGCATTGTGATCACCTGTCGGCCTTTCTACGTATTTACAGTTTCCATTCTTTGGAGTAAAACAAAACTGAACAACAAATGAATGTCACTGTGTCGTTGTCTTAAAGCCTCTTCTCAGTAGTGGTTGAGCACTATTGTACCCCCTCCCCTCTGCGTCGATCCAGAACAGTTTTGTTCAGCGTACTATATATGGATTTTAAATGTACTTATGTGAAGAGATTTGAAAATTTGAAGGAAAGTTAGACTGTTTTACCCCTTACTTGAGGAAAGGGAGAGGGGCTCAATTCATTGAAAGAAAAGATACCGCCCCCACATCCCCACCCCCGTAACAGCACGCTACACACAGACCCCGATGCTTTTGCCATGCTATTACCTTGAGGAAAATAATTCTATGAGACATTTGGGCGCGCTAAATTTTCTGTACAATCATCGTAATCTGCGTTTATTTGATGCGCAACGTTTTAACATATCACATCAGCGCTCAGGTTTGTTTGTGTGTGTGTCGCGCGCGGATGGAGAACGTATCTATGTGGCACAGGCGCATGTGTGTGGTACGCGCGCGTGTTTACTGGTACTTGCATTGCAGTCGCTCGCGTGTGTGTGCAAGGCATGACCCGTGTACATGTAAACATGAAATGTAGAGAGAAAAATGGTAAATCTCATGTTTATTTCCCCTTCTTCCATGGTATGTTGCTCATATGTATTCGTTTTGTAACCAATGTATTCGTATATAAGCTGTATATTACCGTATGCGTCTGTATCGACTCTTCAAGTGCACCCTAAAAGATACTTTGACAGCTAAAAATAGTGGCGTTTTGTCTTGAACTTAATGCTAGGGGTAACCCTGCGATGGACTAGCATCGCAACCAGGGGGGAGTAAAAATACTCCTAGTCACTTCATCCTACAGAAACTGGAGATAAGCACCAGCCTGATTGGCCACTTGACTCGTATCCAGACTTTACCATTTTTTACATGTCCTCTCAGAGGGCTTTTGTTTTCATAAGGCGTCGTCCTAGGCGTCGCCGTCGTCATTGCTAAAACTCCCTCATTGACGGAAAACGCTACGACGCCAAGGACCTCTCAACCGGTGAGGACTTGGCACGAGGAAAAAGGTGGCTATAGAGACGTAATTTGATTGGTTAGATTCTTGGACTAAGAATTTTCACTCATGATTAATGCTGGTTTCATTCCCGAAAATATGTACCGTTTGATCACTATACGTAAAAGCGTTGGATTAGAGCACCTGAAAGAGAAAAACCGACATCTGGAAAGGAAACAATTGATATCTGGAATGGGACACGGAGAACAGAGAACGACGAACGGGGAATTGGGAACGTGGGGAACGGGGAGCAGGGAACAGGGTAGGGACAACGGGCAATGGGAAACGGAGAATTAAATGGGGAAGAACCAGTAATTAGCAAATTTCCTCAAAAAGTGACAATTTTCTAATACTCGCTCTTAACCCTCACCCTAACTATGATCCTAACATTAACCAAAGCCCTTACCCTAGCCCTGTTGCTAACCCTAATCAAACCCTAACATGAACCCTAATCACTAGGTCATCTTTAATTTATTTCAGCGAAGAGTACTGACCGTTGGTTCCCCACTGACCACTAGTCATCTGTTCACCATTCCCCATTTCCCATTCCCCATTTCCCATTCCCCATTTCCCATTCCCCATTCCCCATTTCCCATTTCCCATTTCCCATTTCTCATTTTCCATTTTCCATTCCCCATTCTTTATTTTCCATTTCTCAGTTTCCGTTTCCCGTTTCCAGTTTCCCGTTCCCCGTTCTTCATTTTCATTTTCCATTCCCCTTTCTTCATTTTCCATTCCCCTTTCTTCATTTCCCATTCTCCGTTCCTTGTTTAGCGGAACCCTTTAGAGTAGAACACAATAATTTGCTGGGATAGTGATTAGTGAATCTTGCTAACACAAACAGTTTAAATTTATGTAGTAAGAAATAAAAGCAGATATAACAATAACATTTAATTGTTCTCAAAATATTCTCAATTGATTACACAATAAAAATGCCAGCTAAACAACAAATAAGAAATAAAGAACATTCATGGCCAGTAACAATATTTGCATAAACATATACTCTGAAGAAATAATTAGGTCAATTAAAAATTATTTCCAATACAAAGCTTGTGTGATTCACATATAACACTTTGTATTCGTTACAAAGACATCCATACTTTTATCAAGACCAAAACGTTGTTTGTGTAAAGAACATTGTGTTACATACTTCTGACTTAAAACGTATAGAGAGGCTTAAAAACATCCTCCCACAGCTGAAAGGCAATTTCCTCGTCCATCGTTTCCCAGTCAACCTCCGACTCAAACTTTCTGAAAGCAGGTGGCGGATCCTTACGCAATTCTCTTAGAGTCTTTCGCGTCCTCGCTGATCCCTCCCCGCTTTTTTGGTTTTTGCTGCCTTTATCTTCGTCGCTCTTTCTTGAATCCTTGCCTTCATGTTTTTCTCCCGTTTTCTTTTGGCCACCGGACCGCGCTTCACGACATGACTTTCTTTTCTCGCGTCTTCTGCTTGTTAGTTTCGTTACACACGCTCCCATTTTGAATAAAAAAAAGCTGAACGTACTTTGTTCAAGGTGTATACACGTTTCTCAGTCCAAGGGTGAAACTACAGTCAGTTCAGGTTCACTAATAGTCCAGGTAGAACGTTTGTAGTTGACTGCTGTCGAAACCGAGTCTTGCGATTTATATTAGTAAGATTGCGCAACTTTCCATCGGGACAGAGCTAATACCGGATACGATTGCGCAACTTGCCATTTAAAGAAAACATCCATTTTAGGTCAACGCCAAGTTCTTTGGGATCACGTGCACTAAATCAGCTTTTTCT